TTCGTCTCTCGCTCTCTCTCTCTCTCTCTCTCTCTCTCTCTCACTCTCTCTCTCTCTCTCTCACTCACTCACTCACTCTCTCCACAAGAAAAGCAATCGAATTCGACAGCAATTAGTGTGACTCGACCGATTTCGATTACGTGTTCAGATATGCGAAAGGATGTTCCATGGCTTCCGACTAGTCCTAGAATAGTGCACGACGGAGCTATGGTAACAGATTGAGAGAGAAAGGGAGTAGAAGGGAGGAAGAGGGAGGAAGAGGGAGAGGGAGAGAGAAAGGTTGTATGATGAGCAATGTCTTGCCTTGCGTGGTTAGCGATATTCCGTGTTATTGTATAAGTGAAATTGATTACTGAAAGAAATTACTGGTATTTGTATCATTTCGTTATTTGTTCAATGTATATATTATTACATTACTCTTACTCTCTCGCTCTCTAAATATATATATATGTATAAATAAATAAATATATATATATACATACACAGGTGTATTTTACTCGGATGGGATAAGCGTGTATGTTTCTATGCAACAGTATGCCCGGTGTAAGATTGTACATCCAATGGAAGTGATTGTGCGTGTGACGAATTCAAGCTGGTTTCTAGTCAACCGCACACCAATAAGCATCCAAGCCGATGTGAAATTTAGCATGCATCTGTATTTTCACTGTTACCTGTGTGTAATGTACAACAACCGACATATCGATACATAAAGATTTAAAATAACAACTATATGATTTTACTTGCAAAAATTACTTCTGGTTGTCCTTAATTATTACATAATTAGTGTAGTAGTTAAAAATAACGGTAAAACACTGGGTCGCCTTCAGGGACTGTGCAAATACGTTGTGCAATGAATTGAACTTAATGTGAACTAGGTAAATTAATACTTATTAAACTATAGGTGAGGAACACACTACCTGGTAGTCAATGGGATAATTCTAGAGTATGAAATCGACATAATACCAGTCTGCTTTTGTTGTTACTCGTTCCAGCATAACACTGCTCAATACAACATGAAAGAAAACCCTAAACGAAAGAACAGATGCGACACGATGGTGAATAAAATACAAAATCAATAGAGAAATCGCGAAATTGACCGTTTGAGCGACAGCGGGAATGTGACTATACATTATATTAGATCATATTTCGCTCGTAGATGCGGTGGGTTGACTCTTGCACAGTCCCTGCAGCATGGACACAACACACTTTGCCCCAAGACAACACAACGAGAGGACTGGAAAGCGGGAAGGATAGAGATAAACATATAACACGGTGACGCATTTCTGCTGCAACTGATTATAAAACAATACACTCGCAATGGATGCCGTCAGATTCACAAGCACGAGAGCACGCACGCACACGCACTATTACACATGCACGCCCACACATGGACACTCACACACCACACGCACACATACACACACGCACGCACGCACGCACGCACACACACACACACACACCCACACACATAAGTCGCCCTTTGAACAACAGCACTACCCACAATGCTCAAGCAAACCTAACTCAACATTAATGATCAAATTGAAGCGCATCACGAGCTTTGGTAGCACATGCGCGCACACGCACGCACGCACCAGGGTCATTTCATAACAAACGTCTACTATAACAACAAGGTCCTGATCATTAAACGCTACTAATCTCTCACTCTTATTCGGTCAACTCTATACATATAATTGGCTACTCGTTTAAAAAATACACGCGTCGAACGATTCAGCTCGTCTGCCGGAAAAAATAAACGACGGACTAAATGCTTCATTACTAAATTAACGAGGCGGTTCCGAGGCGCGCTGCTTAATCAATGAGCTAATTAATAGAAGATAATCGATGTTGTCGTTCTCGCATGGTGCTACACGGGGTTAACCCAGTGCAAACCGCCCACGCTGCATCGGTGGCTTAACTCTTCCCGTTACATTTCTTATAGGAAGTGTCCGACGTAGCAAGCAGAAGCATTACCCCCCTCTCCCGCAAATCTTACAAAACTTTTATCTCCCCTATTGTTCACTAGATGGCGTGACTGCAAATAAATACCTGTCTTACTTTCTTATCACAACAAAAAGATTAGCAGCAAAAAAAAAACCGATACGAATTAACAGAAAATTACAAATTAGGCGAATACAATCGACCTTCTTTAACAAGTTCTTTCGGAGTTCATCTTTTATACACATATATATATTTATTTATAGATATATATGAGCGAGTGATTCTTTACAGTAAATGACTTTATTTATTCACACTGGACATATGCAAATAAGTATTCGATAAGGGGCAGAATATATTCGTGAGTAAACTCGTTATATGCTTCTTTTATACAAAAAATTTATTGATATCTTCAACGTGAATCACGTTTGCTTACCTCACACGTTATTTATAAGACCCAGCGGACTTGGCGTTTTTATTTATTTATTTATTTATTTCCTTTTCATTAATTACCTATCATATATATCGTTAAGTTGCGCGTGTTTTTCGACTAGAAATTTCTCCAATAAGAGGTTCATACATTTACATAGTAGTACTCTTTGACGGGTTAAAGGACTAAACGCATTTTAAAAACCTATCTTGCTGCTACACTTGTGCGGAAGATTTCCGTGTAACGAACCGAGGTCCGATTAACGAACCTGCCGATAGTTGCGTTTGACACACACACACGCACGCACGCACGCACGCACGCACACGCATGCACGCACACAACAACGGTGCATAGACAACCTGACACGGAACCTACGAACAGGTCCATCGTCAATCATTCCCTGTCCCCGCCCAGCCTCACGCACGCACGCACACACGTATGCAGTCACGCACTGCAACGTACAAACGCACGCACGCGGGCAAAGGTAGAGACAACTCACGCAAAGCACCAGCATGTAATCAATCTATCAATCAATCAATCACAATGAGCACTACTTCGATTTATTAAAGTGTGAAAAAAGTATCTGAGCCGCACCGACCCCCCAACGACCGACGCTGTATGCAGCACCACCCCCCCACTCATGACCTATACACCGCTCTTACCAGCAGTGACTTTCCTCGATAACATTTATTTATTTATTTATATCTATATATATATACGGGGGAAACTCATGCCGATTGAATGTTGTCACAGCAAACATTATCACATTTACTTTGAAAACAGGTTACGTCTCTCTCTCTCTCTCTCCCATCTCTCCACACACGCACTCACACACTACACACACACGACACACGCCAACAGGTATGTGGCTAGGATACGACTGCCTTAATAATTCACACTACAGCCACCGGCGTGACGCCCTCCCCGAGCGCGTCGACACACCTTCGACAACAACACAACCTGGATAAAGATCGCACGCCCATCAGCGAAGCCCCGAGCCACAGCATCCTCCGAGGATGAGGAGTACCGCAGCATCCCGGGCATCCGCATGCACGCTTGACAGACAGGACTAGGAATAGTGGGATATGACGTCACATGGAATTCCCCCCCATCTTATACCTCGACGCTACGACGTGGACGATTCAACTCGGGCGAGATAATGAGAAAACACAAGGAACGGAAGATACAGCGACCGATTTTGCTATACACGTATAAGCGGGGCCACGCCGCTCGTAATTGCGGCGAGCCGTTCTCTTAGTTTTAATGTCCCCGCAGGGTCGTCCGCCCCCAGCTGCTGTGTGCGCTGCTACTGCTGCTGTTGCTGTTGTTGCTGCTGCTGTTGTTGCTGCTGTTGCTGCTGCTGCTGCTGCTGCTGCTGCTGTTGCTACTGCTGCTGCTGCTGCTGCTGTTGCTGCTGCTACTTCTGCTACTGTAAGTTGCAACTGCAACTTAAGTAACTGCAACTGCAACTGTTAGTGCTGCTGCTGTTGTCACTGCTGCTGCTACTGTTAGTGCTGCTGCTGCTGTTGTTGTTGTCACTGCTGCTGCTACTGTTAGTGCTGCTGCTGCTGTTGTTGTTGCTGCTGCTGCTGCTGCTGTTGTTGTTGCTGCTGTTGCTACATTTGGTGATGCTGCTGATAACTTCACGTTGACAAGCAACGACAAGCTGGCTCAGCTCAATCCGACACTTGCATCGATTCACCGCCGACAATGACGGCAACAGCGACCAGCAGACAACACGCGTCTACGCTCACACGCCAGCTGGAAGGCGGCCACCGGGATCCTTCACTTAACTAAAGTGGAAACAGTGCCAGTCATTTCAAAGCAGGGTCACCACCGCGCAGTGTTCGCGTCGACGCGCGATTCCAAAGTCGCACCCTAAGCGGAATTTCGACAGCCGATCGTACACGCATCTCTCGAAAGGAGATTGTAGATCAATTTGTATCTCGGTGAAGATAACCTTTCGTAAACAAACAATATCGGGTCATAAACGGATCACCCCCCCCCCCACCACCACATTCATGAATGCACGTTTTTTTGGCAAACTGTGGCCATAGATCGCAAAAGAAAAGGAGACGACGTTGTGGACCTCGTAATGCGGTCGGAGGGTGGACCACGCAGCAAAATGACTGGCACAGCTCCCACGCAGCATGCTTTTTAGACTTAATACACATATTTCCAAATCTAGGTGCAACTTAACTAAGTTTTTTCCCCAGTAACGCTTGCGCTGCGGCCGGCTGAACGGCCCACGGTGCACTCTCCATCCCAGGGAATCCGCACCGAGATCGCGAGAGTCCAGCAGAAGAGAGTAGGGAGCACCGTCTCGCAAAAACCTTTGCCTCGTCAAAACATTCGCATTGTGACAGGCGTTTCTATGTAACTGTCTGTCTCTCTCTCTCTCTCTCTCTCTCTCTCTCTCCCCTCTCTCCCTTCTCTTTCGAATGAATTTCAACTGCACCGGATGATTTCAACTCTTGTAAACTCTGCTGTCACGTTGGTTCCAGCCGGCCCGTCCAGACGCGCGCGTTAACCGTAACTTAACTAAACAACCAATCAGAATGGTCGGATTAAATCTAGGTAAATACGTCAACTACTTTGATCCGTTTCATTGTGAGAATTCAAACTTAACTATGTTCCCGAAAAGTTTCGCGCTGCCGTGCCGACCAAACCGAACGCAGGAAGTGGCTATGGACCTTGCCCCAGCGACGCATGACCTCCCAATGCAACCACGGCAGAATGGCCAAACGATTCGAAACATTACTACAGAGGTGACTGCACACGGTAAATAACACCCCGAGTGAGAATAATATCAATGGCATAATAAACGGAAGGACCATTTACCATGACCACCTCTCTCTGCCTTACTAATAGAAGGTATATTTACCGTGACTGCCCCTCTCTCTCTCTCTCTCTTACTAACAGAAGGTCCATATACCGTTAGCGCCTCTCTCTCACTCTCTATCTCTCTCTCATTCTCTTACTAACAGATGGTCCCTCTACCATTACCGCTCCCTCTCTCATTCTCTTACTAACAGAAGGTCCTCTCTCTCTTTCTCTCTCTCGCTCTCTGACTAACAGGTTCTTTCACCGTCTCTACCTCACTGACAACTACCACGTCCACTACCCTGCGCTGGCGACGTCGGCAGGGCGCGCACCCATCCCTCGCGTAAGACGGCTGTACTACCCGTCGTGTGACTCGGAAAAAGAAACGCTCACTCCCCTCCCCTCCCCCTCCCTTCCCTCGTAGCTCCGTCGTCCGACGACCTCTCCCGGTTTCCCCGGCGACGCCGCGCCGCACGGCGTCGTCACGGTGATTGGACCTAGATGCAAAAAAAAAACGGAAACGGAAACTTGCACGTCGGCCGCTACAAAAAAGAAGCGAGCGAGATCGTGGCGACGAGAAAAAACGCAGCTACGCTATTGAGGCCGCCTTCCGTACCATGACCACGCCATCCGCACACTAGGAGCGGATCGAGAGAGAGTATCCAGGACTTCAGTGCCACCTTCACGTTCACGACTGTAGGCTCGATGTGTTTTCTCAAACGTGGCAACAATATTTTTCTCAGTTACAATAGAACGACGAACTGTCCGAAAAACAGATAATATACAGTGCGGATCGAACGGAAACCGCATTCTCTCGAAAAGAAATGTTTAATTCGAGATACACCCCCCCCTCCCCTGCGTGCTTCAGAACTCGTGGATCCGCCCCCTTCGTGCCATACGTACGGCGCGCGCGCGCACGCGTGAACTCACCGTGTTTGCTTGCCGCCCGCCCCCTCACACACCGTAGTGCTGAGTGAGACGCTCTCTCAGCGGAGCAGGGAACTGCTCGGCGAATCGCTGCCAGTTCTCATCGCCGACCTGGTTCTTGAACCCGTGCAGGATCTACAACGGAGGTCACATGGGGGTCAGGTTCAGGTCGCAGGAAACAATTGGCCTTTCTCAGCGCATCGACAGAGGGAGTTTATGCACAGACAACTACCTTGTCAGTTGCATTATTAATATTATTAATGAGAATAACAAAGCGGAGCCAATGTTATATTATTATTATTCTTATCATTAATAATATTATGAATATTGTTACGATGAACTTATTATATCAATGAAAGCCAAACAACAATGAACGTTCAATACCTCACGCTGGGATGCATCTATGTCTGGCTAACCTCAAAGAACATGTAGTTGAAATCATCATTAGGGCTGACCCACACACACACCACTCACAGACATGCAGCCATGCATGCACGCACGCACGCACGCACGCACGCACGCACGCAAGTCCCTCCCTCCCTCCACCACCCCCGCTACCTTATAGAACATTTCCTTGAGGTCCTCCTTGGGGCTGACCCACGACGCGACGGCGTCGCAGAAGAAGATGAAGTCCTGCACGACGCCGGCCGGGTTGACGCCGATCATCACGCAGACGCCACGGAACGCTGAGTCCTTCTCCTCGTTGTCGCGGATGTTGCGCAGCGACGTGCACCTGCCAAGGTCAAGGTCAGCAGGGGGTCGCGGTTAGGTCGCGGCGGCGCGGGAGTCGGAGAGCGAGAACGCGACGAGACATGCAGAGACACATAACGATCGGAAGAGATCGAGCGACTTTGCCCAGCCACAAATCTTCGACCAAAGATGGCCGTCGCGCACCATTTCTCATTTCTACTTTTTTCCCGTTTTTTGGGTTTTAAAATTTCTTTTTCTTTTTTTATATGATATATTCTATTGTCTCAAGAGTATATAATAGAATATTACCTACTCCTGATTATATATTTATAGTTTTTCTAGCTTTATACATTTTATACTCTACAAAAGGAGATAACACCGAATTATTTTTCCCAAAGTGTGACCAGATGCAAGAACATTCATTTGTTTAATGCTCGCTGGATATTTAAGTGCGCGACAACAATAGCAGCTTATTATATGCATCTGCTTACTCTAACAACTTTAACAGACATTGTGACGTCACAATGGCAAGCGGCTGAGCAAGGTCACCTTTAAAAAATACACAACATGCCACGTTATTACGTTAAAATTATTTACATTCTCTGATTAATGACGATTTTTTTTTAAGAAACAAGTAGCAAAGTAAAATCTGTAACACAGAATAGTTTCTCTACATAGCTCGTAATTACAAATGAACTTTCTTAACTTCAAAATATTACGATGAAAATAGCGTAACGATAAAGATTCGACATAAAAGATGAAATTCTGAGCTATAATCGCACACGCACCCAAGAGCGCATATATAGGTGCAATGATCGTAACCAGATATAGACTAAGCATTGGTAGCATTACATTAAACTGAGTGCTGTACTATACTCTACAGTAAAATGAAAACTTATCTCAAAACTGCAGTTTCATTCTCATTGAACGTTCGCGACAACATACCCGGCTATGTTGCCGGGCCTAACATGCATTCAAGCAATTAATTAATTACTCAATTGAAACTTGCCTTTTACCCAGGATGAAATTTTATGGTGCACACAACTCCTAATCGAACCGCATTGTTTTCCCCGTACAAAGTTAAACCGGACAAAATTAGGAAGACACGGGTTTTCTATAATAAAACTGCAGTTTTAAAGAAAAGCAAGAAGAAAAATAAAAAACGTTTACACACCACTGCCGTATAAACTGCTGTAACATGGGAGCGACGTCCTGAGGGCACACGTAACCAAGGCGACCGATTGTTATGGCTACAATCACCACGGTAACGAGCAGACGGGGCAAATAAGAGGAGAAAAACAAAGAGAGAGACAACTCATAAACGAAACAATACAAGCAAATAAAATACAATTCATCACTGTACAAAACAAGTGGCCTGAATGTGGTTATATTGCAATTTTCTCATCTCCTCATCTCCCCAGGTTTTTTTTAAACAAACTGTGTGGATCGAAAGCAAGAGCATGTCACTTTACACACATCGAAAAACAAGGGAGCTTTATTATCCGATTACAAAAACGGGGTGGGGTGGTTTTGGGGCGAATAAGAAAACCCTGCACGAGCGCTACACCGAATCTCTCTTGAGAATCTCTCTCGATCGTTACGGACGTTGAATCGAGATTTCGAAATTAGACGTTAGAGTGGCCCCCTGCGATAATGCTGACTCAATCTGCAAGTACCAACATGATTAACTGAAAATGTACAAACAATTGACTATGAAACAACCCTGAAAACCAAAAAAAAACGAATCATAAATCTGAAGATTAGTGCCACGTCGTGCATTGGCGGCACGCGCCGTTCAAATAAAACCACCCGACTGCGCATACACGACAACAAACAGACACCACAATACAGTGCAATCAAAATCCCCCGTCCCCCTTGCCCTGCCGATCGCTACGAAACGACGATATTGAAACACGAGCGACACCGGCTGTTTCTGCGGCTACGAAATAACAGCGCTCACTTTGGTTTTACATTTACCCGGCGTGAATCGCTCAAACAAAACTAGCAAAGTTGGTCAAAACTATACAGAAATCAGTGCGATCCAATAAAATCATACGAATGATAAAAAATCACCCCGCCTGTTAACTGAAAGATGCCCCCCTGGTAGGGTAGACATAGAGCCTACTACACACATTAGCCTCGTTGAAACAACTGGGAGATACTGTCACGATAACAATACAAATGAAACACAAACACACAAACTATACCAGCTTGAAAATCCAGGACACGTGTCTGTGTTCGTGACCAGGAAAGAGGTTGAAGTGAGACAAACAGTGAACGAGAGAGAAAATGAGAGAAGGGGAGACAAAGAGAGACAGAGAAGTGTTGACAAAGACCAAACGTGAGAAGGGGAGATGCAACAAATAACAAAACAGCTAGCTGGGAAGAGAGAGCAAGTGCGAGAGTAAAAGAGACAGAGAAACATAGAGAGAAAGGGGGGGAGAAGGGGCGGGGGTAAGACTACACGTGTGTGTGAACTTGTAGGAAGCATATAGAACAACATTAGGGAGAACCTACCAAATACCCGTGATTTTTTACTACAATTTTTCTAGACACGTCATCATGCATTTAAGGGTTTTCAGGCTGGCAAGTCTCGATAACCTAAACAATCTATCTCTGCATAGAAACCACTCAAGCAGCCACAAGATGGCAGCAACAGCAGCAGCAACAGCAGCTGGTACAGTTCATTCCAATACAACAGAGCTGTCACCAAGGTCGCGATAGAAATTAACACAATGCTGCTGCTGTTGTTAGTACGTAGTGCAAAATAATCGAGTAATCAAATGATATCATCTCTAAAGATCAAACTGAGCCAAAAGCAGTTTGTATGTTAAAAGCTGAGACAACAGCAAGCTAGCCAAATATATTAGTGAGCGACAGAAAAAGAGAATGAGAAAAGGGAGAGTGAGAGTGAGAGAGAGAGAGCGAGCGTGTATGTAATCAACACAGTGGGCTGGGCCGAGAGAATCATCACTCTCACCAGGTGGACGAACCAGGTGGTGAACCAGGTGGTTGCCACGGTGACGCGCTCCGAAATCACACGAAGCGCGAGCGACTTCCGTCTAGCCTGCTGTTGTCTCTCGCCCAACGAAACACGATGTGCAAATTCACGCGCGCGCGGTCGCCGTTTCTCCAGTTCTCGTTGTCTCGCTCGCGTGCGCGCGGACCTACCTGTGTTCTCCAGCAGAGTTTTCGGCGTGTTCGCGCGATTGATGATTTGCACGAGCTGCGTGAGCACGAGCGGAACAAAGGGCTTCATCTCCGGACCCGCTAAAACGACACGCAGAAAATAAAACGTCATTCCGCGGGTTTTTTAAGCGTTTACTTTTTTTTATTTATCATTCGTTTTATACGTTTATTTGTGTTGAACGTCGTACGTTTAAGATTTACCGAATTTGTAAGATAATTTTATATTCCGATACAATTAATTATATATTACATGTATTACAGTTAATGTATTTAGATATTTATATGACACATAGATATATATATTGGTAGTTACTAAAGTTAGCTATGTATGTAGTTAGTACATACATATTTATACAGTATTATAGTATGTAAATATAACATTATTATATAATGGAATCTCTGATACAGTAGTTGAAATAGGTTTTGTGTGTAATTGGAGCTATATTGAAATAGTAATTGTAGTAGTGCTATATTGCACATATACTATCAGATTCCATTTATTGTGGCCAGTGGTGGAACACAATTGTGCCATTCCCCGAGATATATTGATACGTTTGCCTTTTCACTCCTTATTTCAACCGATGTGCTACCCCTTTAACCAATGACGCTTTCCACACACAGTGAGTAGTGGCTTAGAGAAGACAGCAATGATATAACAGTGAAGATCTGGTCAGACAGTACGAATACAATCTGTATCTTGCACGAAGCGAAACTTCTATGAAGACAGAAATAACGTCATCATTCCAGACCAGATTAACCAGATGCACTCGTTTCACGGGACAACACTAATATCATCAGATAGTTTAATAATTCTAACCGATATTGAATTCTACACAACTATCATTAACTGGTTTCATAAAACTCTGATATCACTCTACTTGTAATAGCCATCTTGTCAATTGCTTAACCCTAGCAATACTTTCTTTCACACATAATATATGTAATGCAAGTGCATGCACATGCACACATGAACTATAGTTCATGTGAGTTTTTCATAAACCACTACTAACTAACTTTACAATAAACACATATATATATATAAATATATATAAGCCATATTTTTCAGACGCAACTTTACCATCTATTACAGGGAGCAAATAGCTGTGACAATTTATTCACTTTGCTCAATGCATCTATTTTGAGTGATCATGTGATCAGTAAGATCTGCATACACACGACAACTCACAGCAGGTCAACAAATTAAGGCCTTGTTCCTGTAGTCAGTGATCTATGTGTTTATATATACTTCTGTGGGAGCGTGGATCTACCAAGCACTACGATAAACCCAATACGTACGTTGCGCTGACGCAATTCTACATTGCATACGAGATGGAAGAGAGCAGTAATCAGTGGAGGGAAACATCGCTACATGTGTTACACGTATAAAGAGAGAGAGAAAGAGGATCGCATAAAATTTGGAGGAGAGCGAGATAAGGTGGATACGGAAAGGCGGTGTGAACGACTTATTTTTTATCTGCAATCATCGTCAACCGCGCGCACGCGCTGCGATGCGCCCACCTTTGCGTCTGCTATTACTGACCTGGTCTCGTTCCTCCAACCTCTTGCTTTTCTACTGAATTTCCCTCTCGCTCCTCCAGCAAACCTTTTCAATATAGAATTGCGTCGTCTTAAGTCGAGCAAACCAATCCCGTATAGACACAAACAATAACGTGCAGGGCGACGCCCGTTCTGATCACATGACCACACTCGCATTGTGCAGCGGTAACAATCGAGCGAGACCGTGACGCACATGCAGACAATATGAGCCCAAATAAAATCATCCAAACACACGCGCACGCACGCACATGAATGCACGCACATGAATGCACACACAAATATACAAAAGCTGATAGAGTCGGAGTACCAGTAACGGTCACTTTTAAAACTTTTATCGTTGAGTAGTGCTACTTTACAGATGAAACATATTATTCTTCAAATGTAGAAATAAAATAAGAGAGAAATTTCTATGAACAGTAACATAATGTCGTTTGATGTGTTTTCATTGAAGGTATTATGGCAGCAGTGATGCGTTTGGAAGTGGTTTTCACGGACGAAAACAAATCGTTTCGTCATCCACTCATACGTTCGTCCAACCGAAGACACTGTAGAAACACAATCTATTCCCCAAACAGCCAAAACATTAGAGAATATAGAATTGCCAATAAAAACACTGTCCGCACCCACCCACAGCTTCCAGCAGTCTGAAGTGTCAGTTATCCGAGCTGCACGTTCAATTAACTAGCTGCTACATACTACTGGTCAACACTGGCTTCAGCACTTACCCATTTTTATCGAAATCTCTCCGATGGCCCAGGTTGCGTTATTGCACACTGATATGAACTCTGGGTTGAGATTTTGGCCTAGAATTGGCATGAATTCGCCTGCAAAAAATATAAAATGTGCCACTGCATGTCTCAAACCATGCTGTTGATATTTACTTGCAAAGATTAATAAAAATATCTACTATAGTTCACAGCTAACCTTATATCTTCAAGCTTCTTTTATCGACAATATATTATTTGAATCTGCACAGAATAGTGAAAAGAATGTGTGCCCATAGAACTGGTCACAATATTTTTTATCATATAAATATAAACAAAAAAATAATATAAATGTCATCCTTAACAGTAGAAACGATTACAAAAACGTCTGCATCTACGAATCGAAAGCACACTATTCCTCTATTCCAGACATCACAGTCACCCGTGCTCGCCACTATTGCACGGTGGCTCCCTCTGCCACCACGGCCTCCCTAGTCGTCGTTGGCGCACGTACCGATGAAGGGTCGAACGTGCTGAAACGTCGCCTTCGTTAGGTCTCCTAGCAACGCAAACGAGCTCTGTCGCACCTCTGGCATCGGGTCCTGGCAGAGCAACAAGATTCATGTATCGTTACTTCCACTCACGTCGACATGCTATCACCGCCCTCTCGTTCTAACTCAGCAGCGTGCATAGACACTGTCGCACCATCACTGCCTTCTCGGTCTAACTCGATGACGTGCAAATAGATTGTCGCAATAGTCTAGTGTTGTTGCTAGTTCTCATTCAAATGACTGTTGACTCTTGAGCAATTCTTGGAATTTTTCGAATTGTTCTCAAAACTTTGAAATTACAGACATTCCACCCAGAATACCCTGAGCATCCCGAATACCCGAACGTTTACAAAAGGTTACCACAAAGAGAGTTTTTCGCGAATCACGACACGCACGACTGCATCACGCACGCGACGAATTCATCTCGACTCTCTCCCATTTCGTTCAGGGAAAGCACGACAGATGCTGAGGTGGAGCTGAAGGGAGCGCCTCAGCCTCTAACGATGACCTACCTGCATGCACTGGTAGAGCAGCGGCAGTATGTTGCTGTTGCGCACCAGGTTCTCTATGTGCGCCTCCAGTCCCTCGGCTAGACCACTCAGCAGGTCCAGAGCGACGATCATGAAGTCCTTGTCAGGCGGATCAAACTGATCCGGATGGTTCGTGTTCGCCTGCGATCGCAAACACGCTCACATGTCACGTAGGTTGTTGACATTGCTCTGTTACATCGATGCTCATTGCTCCGTCACATACAGTGACACTGCTCCGTCATATACATCGACATAGAACTGTCACGTACGTGGACATTAAAAACTGTCACGTACGTGGACATAGAACTGTCAGGTACATAGACATTGCTCTGTCACGTACATAGACATTGCTCTGTCACGTACATAGACATTGCTCTGTCACGTACATAGACACTGCTCCGTCATATACATCAGCATAGAACTGTCAGTACTTACATAAACTTTCACGGTACATAAGACAGGCTCCTTCATATACATCTACATTAAGAACTGTCACTGTACAGGACTAGAACTGTCAGTTAATTAACATTGCTCTGTCATATACATCGACATAGAACTGTCACGGTACATGCACCATAGAAATTCCTTACATACATTACTCTGTCACTACATAACATTGCTCTTAGTATCATTTAACATTCTCTGCTCCGTACATAGACATTGCTTCTGACTACATAGACCATAGAACGTTCTGTACATAGACATGCTCGTCACTACTAGACATAGAACTTTCATGTACAGAATAGAACTTTCAACGTACATAAGAATAGACTGTCCTACGTGACACAAACTGTTCAGTACATAGACATAGAACTGTCACGTACGTAACAGAACTTCAGGTACATAGACAGAACTGTCACGCTACATGACATAAACCTGTCCATACATAGACATGCCTCTGTCATCTATCATACATAGAACTGTTCACATACATAACACAAACTGTCACGTGACATGGATACAGAACTGTCACTACATAACAAAACTGTCACGTACATGTACATAAACTCGTCAGCAACATAACATTGCTTCTGGTCACTACATAGGACATAGATACGCACATACTAGCATTGCTCTGTCACGTACATAGACATTGCTCTGTCATGTACATAGACATAGAACTGTCACGTACATAGACATAGAACTGTCATGTACATAGACATTGCTCTGTCACGTACATGGACACAGAACTGTCAGGTACATAGACATTGCTCTGTCACGTACATAGACATAGAACTGTCACATACATAGACATTGCTCTGTCACGTACATGGACATAGAACTGTCACGTACATAGACATAGAACTGTCACGTACATAGACACAGAACTGTCATGTACATGTATAGACATTGCTCTGTCACGTACATGGACACAGAACTGTCAGGTACATAGTCACTGCTCTGTCACATACATAGCCATTGCTCTGTCACGTACATCAACATTTCCTTATGGACACCTGTCTTTCTATAGAGGTGGTTCTATAACTACTACTCAAGGGCAACACTAAGCGTTCTTTATAGACCAGTATCCGTTCTATAGAGGTGACAGCTAACACAGCTGTAAGTATTATTTAACTATTCGCATTATACATATTGACAGACACAATTTCATGCATTCCCTCTTCTATCTACATAATGGTACATAAGGACAGATGACTGACATGCATTTCATTTCAGCAGCAATGAAACTTAACCATGATCAATTTTGAGATTTATCACGTAAAATAATTTCATTTTAACTGTCGAAACTGTCGTTCTGGTAAATCTTTTGGATTTATCTCACAAATTCATTATTTTACGTTAAGCATATGCCACAAAATGCATTAATTTACTGATTCTAAGCACCTCCGTCAGCCAATTATTACTGATAAAATTATACTGACATTGGCCGCAAAAAAAACGGGTTAATTAGCGTCTACAAAAATCAATAGCAGAGATATTTAATGAGATGCATGAGCCAAACGTGTTAACATCTGAGTTTGGTCAGACAGTACGAATACAATCTGTATCTTGCATGAAGCAAAATCTTCTATGAAGACAGAAATAATGTCATCATTCCAAACCGACGTCACTTTAACACAATTTTTACCAGTTGACGACGACGGCACAACACCACCCAGAATCAATGCGAAGTTTAATGACTCATCGAGATAACGGCTTATTACACTTCTCTCATTCCAACCCCAACCATCAATTCAAATACGCAATATATCACACCACATCGGTCTATGCGTGTGCCATATATAAAACGGCAAACAATTCTGGGACAGGAATTCCGTGTTTCCATGGCAACGACACTCATCCCCATCGCACGCCCACGCCGCTCCAGGGAGGAAGCCGTGTAACCTATGCAGCAATCACTCCCGCCACCCGGCCGCTCTAAAATCCCAATTTAACGATCCGAAACACGTGACCCGACTAATACCACCGGAGCGATGAAACGTAATTGCCACTTTTCAAGCGAACGTGAAAACTGCTATGAAACAGTCCCTCCCCTATACTAACCGACAAGAAAAACCAGCAGCGCGCCCCAGATCAATGGCAAAAAAAACGTGAAACGGGCTTACGATTTTCGCGAGGTCCCAGCAGCGAATGGCTGCACGCAACACATGGACTCCACACTACACATTGTTCTACACTACAGCTGCGACGCTCTCGCGTAATGGTCGCTGCTAGCATGAAGGTCGCTGCCCCATGTAAAGGTCACTGCTTGCAAGAAGGTCACTGCCTGAGGGTGGTGACTGTGTAACGGGCATTACTTCTTAATTGTGCTAACTGTCTAACAGCAGTCAATACTTAAGGTCACTGAATGTACGGATGTCACTGCTTAACGGTGGTTACTGTCTAATGTCACTGCCTAAAAGTGGTCACTTTCCAAGGTCACTGCCTAACAGTGGTCACTCCCAAAGGTCACTGCCTAAGAGTGGTCACTTTCCAAGGTCACTGCCTAACAGTGGTCACTCCAAAAGGTTACTACTTAACAGCGGTCACTCTCCAAGGTCACTGCCTAACAGTGGTCACTCCCAAAGGTCACTGCCTAACAGTGGTCACTCCCAAAGGTCAATGCCTAAAAGTGGTCACCCCATAAGGTCACTGCCTGACGGCCGTGAAGTAGCTAACAGTCGGAGGTAACTTACGATGGTCTGGTTGAGGGTCTGTTCGACGAGGGACAGACAGCGTTTGTAGACGGGTTCGCTGTAGGGCAGGAAGCCGGACTGTAGCGCCGTCGCCACGCTCGACAGACACTGAAACACAGCATGCAGTGATGTCGTCAACGTACAAATTCTACCGACCAAACGACCAACTTCTACACACGGAAATAAAGTTTCCACCATTACCACGCCAGCCTCCAACGTCACAGACCGAGTAAGTATATACTATACAATATATATATATACATATATATACTGTACATACATATACAGTGTACTGCCAGACATGACTGCCAGGCTAACACAAAATCCAGTAGCTCCTGCTTCATTATTTCACGTAGAGTACTAGTTTACTTTACTAATTTACATTATCACGGCTCGGCATCGCACGAAAACACACAGACAGACGGGTTTCCAGATAATGCACACATGATCAGGTGGTACGGTGTAGATTATAAAAATAACTGTACGAAATTGCACAAAGCACAGCTGATAGAGATTGAATAATAACACACAATGGGTATACAAGGATGAAGGTACAATGAGCTAAATACGAACAGCAACATACATGTATACAAACTACATTTCTTTCATCGAACACTGCTTGATTACACTATTTCAACTAACGTTTTCTTCTCGAACACTGCTCCAGTACACTCATAGAAAATAAAGGGTTTGTTCAGCGAACATGGTTTGATTACACTATATGAACTAACATTTTATTCCCGCAAAACTGCTCAAACACACTCATAGAAACTGAAGGTTTTGTTCAGTGAACACAGCTTAACTATACACTCATAGAAACTGAAGGTTTCATTCTGTGAACACTGCTTGATTAATCACACAAACGGAAGTATTGTCTACCGACAAACACTAACTATGTGACCGAGCCTCACCTCGAGCAGCGGGAAGAGATCTTTGTCCTCATCCTTGAGAACATTCCACTTGGTGATGAGGGGTGGCATCAACAGCTTAATGAACTCCTGCAACAGAAAGCCACGAAAAACCCATCACGTAACCACCCAACACCATCACACATCTTAAACTATTTAACGTTTCAAGGTTTTACTATTCAATACCATTTTTTTTTTGAGGTTTACCATTAAAAGTTTAAAAAGTGCCGGAAATAGCAGTCGCATCCCCTCCACCAGGACTCAGACCTTGGGACAGAGATTTTTAAGCAGGACCGACTAATCAATCAAATGATTTTTACTATAGGCTATACCAGGACTGGCTGGGTTTTCGAACTTCTATCCGAGATCGCCCGATCCGGTCACTCTCATCCTGAACTATCTATCCTAATCACACGCTGACTGCACTCCTACCCGTTATATTAAATGCATGTCGATAGACGTTTGGACAGGCCCCGCACCTCGCACTGCTCGACCCATAATACGCACAAAATTGTTAAGGGTTAGGGGGTATGGCCATAATAAATTTTCTTTAATAATATAAATATTAATATTAATAATAATTCTTTTTTTTAATAAATTGTATCACTGTACATTATATAAATCTGTAAGCAATACATTATATGTACCAAGCAAAAGAAACATTCAACATAAAAGGTATCGCCACATAAGCACACCCGAGCATGTAGACACCACGCTGAATTTGTAAAAAGACCCCCGCCCTCAAAAAAAAAAGGCCGACCTACCTACCCAAAACTTTTCAGCCCGGGTCGGGTGCGGGCAAACAAAGATTTTTTTAATTGTGGCCTAGTGGGTAGGGGTTAGGGTAATGTTACAACGTAACACTACTTAAAGTCCTTTTGACTCTGAAGAGTTACCATCGTGAGATCATTACACTAGTCTGAACGTCTAACGTCTCGAAACCCGTGCCCGTCACCACCGACACTCTCGCAACGCGTCTCAAAACCGAATCGCATTCTTGCGGGGGAAAAAAATATGCCATCAGAATCGCGCATCTCCCACGACGCACCATCACGCGCGCCGGCTTAAACGTCATTGAATCACGCGCGTCGTCAGAAGTCCTCTGCCCACGCACGCCTCTTTGCTAGTTTTGACAGTTACGCGACGACCGAGTTCAATCATCGGATTAGGCACGCATCGTTAGACATCTATATTACGAGCGCGCGCGCTTCACGGTTTTTTTTTTTAGAGCAATACGTCGAACAAATTCGCTTGTCAGATTACGTCGGGGATTACGACGCCGTCTAGACATGGGCGTACTCCGCGTTTTGTCCCGACACGCTGAACACACTAATCCAGGAATAATTAATGTTGCGTCGTTGTGCATTTAGACACGCGGAGTTTCGACGTTCTTACATATTCGTAATTACCGCTTTACAGGAGTAGAAATTAACTTTTGAACACGGGAGTCCAAAGGACCCTACCTCAAAAAGAGGAAGTCCGCAGCAAAATGAGGGAGTCCGCAGTCAGAGGTTCAAAATTAAAGATATTAACATTAACGCATGGGCTTAATTTTAAGATTCATGCGGTTGCACGTCTGCCAAATTTTCTCTGGACATAAAAATACGGTAATTCCACGAGGCCGTGCTCCGGAACAAACTAGTTATTGTGGCAGAATTTTCAGGGAGTCACACGGACTCCTGCATATGTCAAATCAGGGAGTCCGACAGTAAATCAGGGAGTATTTGACTCCGGACTCGCACCCTGCTTTAGAAGTGCATGCTACACAGACTTTTTTAGCGCATCACTAAGCGCCACGCTGTTAGACGTTTAAGACACGCGTAACACCACGAACGAGCATACTCTACATACTGTACCACGCTACGGATTACAGGTCACGGCAGCTAACAGACTACGGCGCTTGACATCTTTCAACGACCTTCCCACATCGCTCCACCCCGCCACCTTTCCACTTCTACGCACGTGGCCACAAGTGATTGAATCGCAACTCAATTCAGACCACAGACAACCTCCACGTTACGAGACAGCTAACAGACGCCACCGCTGCCAACTACGACCGTCAACGACCTTTCCCCATCGCTCCGAAGCCGCGGTTGACAACGACCTTCAACGATCTCCCCCCGTCGCTCCACCGCCACTGCCGATAACGACCTTCAACAACCTTCCGCAGCAGTAAGCAACAGCAGGCAGTAAGCCAACAACAGCAGTAGGCAGCAGCGGCAGCAGTAAGCAACAAGCAGGAATCAGTTAAGCAAGCAACATGACAGTAAGCAACAACAGCAGTAGCAGCAGCGGTAGCAGTAAGCAACAGCAGCATCAGTAAGCAACAACAGCAGTAGCAACAGCAGCAGTAGCAGCAGCGGCAGCAGTAAGGCAAGCAGCAGCTAGTAGCAGCAGCAGCAGCAGTTAAGCACAGCAGGCAGTAGGCAGGGCTAGTAACAACAGCAGCAGTAGCAGTCGAGCAGCACAGTAAGTCAAACAACAGCAGTAGGCAAGGCAGCAGCAAGCAGTAAGCAACTAACAGCAGTAGCAGCAGCGGCAGGCAGCACGGGAGCAGCGCAGCAGCATAGCAGTAGCTGTAGCCACAGTAGTAGCAACAGCAGCAGCTTCTACCCGATTGTTTGACGTGTCCACATAACGGGACGTGGTTCATGCGCGCAGTAAGACTACAGCAACATCTCCTTCTTCCACTATGCTTGACGTGTCCACGTTAAACATGTAGCAGTACAGCTCAAATAACAAGCAACATCTCCTTCTTCCACTATGCTTGACGTGTCCACATAACATGTAGCAGTACTACTCAATAACAGCAACATCTCCTTCTTCCACCGTGCTTGACGTGTCCACATAACATGTAGCAGTAAACGTAAATAACAAAGCAACATCTCCTTCTTCCACCATGCTTGACATGTCCAAGTAACGTGCAGTAAGACTACTCGATAACAGCAACATCTCCTTCTTCCACCGTGCTTGACGTGTCCAAGTAACGTGCAGTAAGAACTAACTCATAATAACAGCACACACTGCCTTCTCCAACCCTGCTTGACGTTCCGCTGTCGCTCAATATCGGTGGCAGTACATGTTGAATGAAGGACGCAGACGCCGGACGAGAACGGTGTGCGGCTGGAACGTGCGAGTTCTGGCTGTCGCTCCGCCGAAGAGGCAGTCAGATCTGCAAGGAGGTGCTCGCGCCCTACCATCGCGCGATCTCATACCGATCTATGTCACAGGCATGAAGTACTCAGAGATGCGAAATCTCCTCCTCAAAGTTGGGGGCCGCCGGCCCGCGTTCGCTTGTATTTGTCTTAGTTTTCGGAAGCGTTTGGCCTCGTTTCGATGCGGATGCCTCCGTCGGAAGCATTTGCTTGTTTCCGGTGCGTCTCGCGTGTGGGTATTAGCACGCGTTCCTGTTTCGGCCGGCATATAGTACGGTTTGCGGCCGTGCCGGTGTGTGAGCCAGTTACTTATGGCTTCTCTGAATTTCGGATGTAACACGTTCATCAGCTCGACCCCCTTTTCTGTTTTTCTCGCCTTAATTACGCCTTCAAAGCCAAGTCTCGTAAATCTAAGTCTAAAGGGCCAGCCAATCTGGTTTGAAAATTCTTTAGATTCTAGTTAGTATATAACCTAGGGTATAATAAAATGCCATAAAAATTGGCAGCGACGTTTCTGGTGACACCCGTCTCTCGCTCTTGTCTCGGATTTTCGGACATCGCTCACCACGCGCGCCACGCGGTCTGACGCACTGTTTTCCCGGTTTTTCTGGCGACGCTGTTGCCGTGACGTTCTCGATGAGCTCGTACACCTCGTTTCCGTCTGATTTCTCCGATATCGTTCGCTCGCCGACGTGAGCGCGTGCGTCTAACGTCGCGCCGTTTCTCCCCCTTCCGCGAGCAGGGAGACATCGAGGGAGGAACGAGATATCCTCGGACGGCGGGAGGAGACATCGCGTGGTCCGCGCTTCCCGCTCGAAGACGCCACGAATGCAAGCACGAGGACGGCTACGACGACGCGAACACATGTCGACGACGCATCGACGACGAACGACGTCGCTCTCCGACTGGAACTACGTGAGGGTGGCGGGGCAGGGTGCAGGAGTGCCGACCGTGCTGTGGGGCGGGCAGGGGGCAGGAGTGCGAGCCCGGTGTGTGGGCCGGGCAGGGTGCAGAGTGCGACCCGGTGTTGGGGGCGGCAGGGGCAGGAGTGCGACCCGGTGTGTGGGGCGGGGCAAGGGTGCAGGAAGTGCGACCCGTGTGTGGGGGCGGGGCAGGGTGCAGGAGGTCGGGCTTGTGGGGCAGGGTCAGCGACCCGTGTGTGGGGGCGGGGCAGAGGTGCACGAGTGTGCGCGGAGCGAGGCCCCGGCTGGTGTGGGGCGGGGCAGGGTGGCTAGGAGTGCGACGCGGTGTGTGGGGCGGGGCAGGGTGCAGGAGTGCGACAGCCGGTGGTGTGGGGGCAGGGCAGGGTGCAGGAGTGTCGAACCGCGGTGTGTGGGGGCGGGGCAGGGATGCAGGAGTGCGACCCCGGTGTGTGGGGGGGGCAAGGAGGGCAGGAGTGCGACCCGGTGTGGGGGGCGGGTCAGGGTGCAGGAGTGGCGACCCGGTGTGTGGGGCCGGGGGCATGGGTGCAGGAGTGCGACCCGGTGTGTGGGGGCATGGGCAGGTGCAGGTGCGACGCCGGTGGTGGGGCGAGACAGGGCAGGAGTGCGATCCTGTTGTGGGCGGGGCAAGGGGTGCAGGAGTGCGATCGCGTGTGTGGGGCGGCAGGTGCAGGAGTGCGACCCGGTGTGTGGTGGTGAAAAATGTAGAGTGTTTGTACTGTGGGCGTGGCGTGCGTGGCGTTGCGTGCATGCTTTGAAGTAACAGGGGAACATGTAAGGCCAGTGTCGGCAGCGTTTCATCGTGCGTATTATCAACGTAAATAGTATCAGGCATGTATCAGTAATATATTGCGTTATAGTCTGTGTACATCTCATGTGCCATGTTGCATTGTAGGCAGAGATGCCAACCACTATGATTATACCATATTTTATAAGCGAATCTCTATTCGCTTTTGCACCACTACGACCAGTTTGTATCGAAACTGACGATTTCACTGGTGATCGAAAAAATTTTCTGGGGACATGCGGACCCTTTAGCACTGCGGGTCACTACGTGACCCATGCGAACTACAATTTGAAGCGCAGAAACTACAAGATTGCTTCAAATATGTGTTGGCATCTCTGTGTAAGGTACGTGATAGGCGATGGGCAGTTTAAATGCCACGAAATTCATGAAGTCGTGAAAAGTGCTGAGACCGCTACATGTAATTTATTGCGTGTTGTTCTTTGGCAGGAAGGTGTTTCTGCGGCTGCGCTCGACGCTTCTATGCGGAATTGTGTTAGAGAGGACCTATCCTTCACATATCTCTGTGTTCTTATTAAAGAAACTCTATTCCACACCGACTTGGGAGATCAAGAATCTAGAATATGGTGTCCGGTGCGATGCAGAACGGCAAGTCAACACGGCCTAAATACACTAGTAACACAAAAAAGTTTTGATGTGGAAAAATTGAAAAACAAGGTCCCTTTGGTAAATTTTTTGTTAATGGTTAAATTGCGGCATTATACAGTATCCTTTTTCGTTGACTGTTTTGATGAAAACGGAACACGCACTCCATACATTTTCATGCAGTTTTGTGCTCTCAACAAAGACAAATGCTCAGATGTTCTAGATGTGTTCTAATATGTGAAATGCGTTCTCATCGCACGTATAGGAGTGTGTAGCGTAACCTAATGCTTGGCCAAGCACTCGTGTTTATATGCAAGCGCCTCTAATCTAAAAGTTACACGTACCACTGAACGGGTAACGTAAACCGCCGTCGACATAGTCGATGCGTTGTCAATGTAGTGTTTTCTGCCGGCGTGGCTCGCAGTTTCGCCGCGCTCCTGCAGGCGTGCAATGAACGGGAAATCGGTTGCCCACCTGCCGGAGGCTGCTGCCGACCTACATCAGCTGCCTGTCGACTAGGAAGCGCTCGGGTGCGCGCAGCATGCACCTCTGGACTGCTCAGCCGATAGCGTCGCACTGGGTCGTGCAGGCAGCCGCCACGACGATTTACCTCAAGCACGTCATGACGGAGGTAGGCAGCTCGTTTATGGCTGGCAATCACTAACCCTAGCGCCTAATGGCTAACCCACAACATTAGCCTCAGCAGTTCATGACTTGAGGTAGGCGCTCGTTTAGTGCTGCGGCAACACTAACGCTAACCCTAACCGCACGACTTGTACTCTGCAAGCCACTCATGATGGAAGGTAGTGCACCCTTGTTTAGCTGGCTGGCAACCCCTAAACCCTAACCCTAATGGCTAACTCCACGACTCGTACCATCAAGCCACTCATGAACGGAGGTAGGGACGTCGTGTTAGTGCAGGCAACCACTAACCCACGACCTTGTACCTCAACCACTCATGCGGAGGTAGCGGCGTCGTTTAGTGGCTCGCAACCCATACGCCTAACCCTAACGCCATGACATGTATCTCGACCACTCATGCGGAGGTAGGCGCCGTAGTGGCTCGCAACTCGTCTAAACCTAACCTAATGCCCATGACATAGTATCTCGAGTCACTGCGATGCGAGGTAGGTGCTCGGTTTAGTCAAAGGCAACACTAACCACTAACCCTAACTCAGCAACATCCTGCTATCTATGGGGAAGAAATCCGCTTTAAGCTAAGTCCCTAGATATTGTTAATGCTGCTACATGTAGTTTACAGCTGCTAAAGCGAGATTTGCGATGCCCAACAAGCATCGA